TTCATATTGTCAAAAAAAGTTGGGTCATGTATGTGAATAAGTTTGTTTATAATTAATTAAAAATTAATTTTGTTTTCCGAGAAAAAATGTAGCCTATACTTACTCCCTTTATATAGTGACGTGGTATAAATTCCAAGGAGATCGGTCCAGTCGTTCTTGTGTTCTAAAAAATAATACAGTTACGTCGCGTCGGTTGAATGCACAAGCTCAAATAAATGTGGCAACGTTTTTTCATGTTCTCAACAAAAAAAAGTTGGGTCATGTATGTGAATGAGTTTGTTTATAATTATTAATTAATTAAAAATATTTTTTCCGGGATAAAAAGTAGCCTATGTCACTTCCCTTCAGATAGAGACTACGTGGTTTAAATTTCAAGGAGATTGGTCGAGCCGTTCTCGAGTTATAAGTGCTTCCACAAAACACAACTGTGTTTTATATATATAGATGTTTATTATATTAATTACAATTAGCAAAATTTGGGTGTGGCCCAAAAAAAAAATCCGCCTGCGGTGCGCTTTCCACGATTCCCCCAAGAGCAGTTTATTTGCCCCCCCCTGTGAAAAATTCTGGGGGCGCCGTTGCATTGACATCATGTATAATTGTGTTTTATGTTGCAAAACATTTTCGGCGGAATTACCTTGTGATTCTTGTGTTAGAAAGCCAACAAAACAGAGCTACGCCGAAGCAGATACTACTCCCTGTACCTGTACTAGTAGATATTGGGTTTTTCTTTTTATTGGTGCCGCTTTTAAATCAAGCAGTCAGCTTCTATATTGAACTTCTTCGTACCACTTCGACCGCTGCTTCATGGAAATACTTAGATTATGTTTGGGTTATTTAATTTCACTGCTTTATCAATATTATTTTTGCTGCAAAAAGATCTTCTGCAACTTATATAATATCTGAATATTTAGGGAATTTTTTCCAATTTTAATTGAGAAACGGTTAGATGTATTTCAAAAATCGTCAAAAAATATTGAGAATAGTTAAATGTTATTCAGAATGCGTTAATTATGATTGACGATAGTCATATGTAATTGATAAACCGTCAAATGTAATTGAGAAAACGTTAAATGTAATTGTGAATGCGTTAATTGTATTTCAGAAAACATCAAATGAAATTCAGAATAGGTCAAAAGAAATTAAGATCATGCAAAATTTGAAACTGTGGAAAATAATTAAGCAATCCATATCCGATGTCCCATAATTTTCACGAATTTGTGGCACCTCGTATATAAAATTTTCGAATCTTCATGATCTCAACTTATTTTACCTATTCTGAATGTCATTTGATGTTTTCTGAATTACATTTAACGTTTTTTCAATTACATTTACCGATCCTCGAATAGAATTAAATTAACGCATTCTCAATTACATTTGACTATTCTCAATTACTTTTGACGATTTCTGAAGTACATCTAACCGTTTCTCAATTAAAATTAGAAAAAAATCCCTAAATATTCAAACATCATATAAGTTGCAGAAGATCTTTTTGCAGCAAAAATAATATTGACAAAGTAGAGACATTAAATAACCCAAACATAATCAAAGTATTTCCATGAAGCAGCGGTCGTATAGTAGTAAGGAGAAGTTTAATATGAAAGCTGACTGCTTAATTTTTGGTAAAAGCGGCACCAATAAAAAGAAAAACTTAATATCTATTAGTATAGGTACAGGGAGTAATACCCTGCTGCAGAAAAAATTGTCGCGTAGCTCTGTTTTGTTGGTTTTCTAACTCAAGGACCACAAGGTGATTCCACCGAAAATGTTTTGCAACATAAAACACAATTATCCATGATGTCAATGTTAGTCCGTCTACAAAATGAAAAAAATTACGTGAAGCGTAAAAGAGAGATCTGTCAAATATAACAATTAATTGGACAAGTGATAGATGCTCACTTAAACTAATCACACTTGAAATTACGGGATAATAGATACCGATAACTTATTATCGGCTCACAGAACAACCACCAACCTATCTATTTAATTAATTTTTAAAGTTTGACATGCACCCATTCTCTTTTTTAACTTAATTCCATTCGTACTTACAAGTTTCCCAAAAATTATCGATAATTTCCAGTTAACTTTTTCTGTTACTGGTTACTGATAATATCATCTCACCATTCTTACCTGTGCAATAACTTCTGAGCAGAACCCGATAAACCAGACTTTTTAAAATAGAACAGAAAATTCCACAAACAAGCAAAATTGACTGTCATATCATTGCATGCAGTCTACGGCATCAAACACAGTTTTTTAATTCATGCCTGTGGTTGTCAGCAGGCAGCGGGAATGAGAGGGGAGCCACACAACTTCTGCCGTCAGACCGCGCTTTGTTGTGTTAAAACGGCTGTAGTTAGTTTATTATTGAAAATAGGTCGGTATATAATTGAGACGAAAGAAAGCCAATTGAATTTGACAGTTTTTGAGCAAAAAATTAGGTTAATAATCCAATATATAAAGGAGTTATGGCAGGTTAAAGCAAACATATATTTTACTCATTCGCGCCGTGCCTACGAAATAACTGATTTTTTGAGCTCTACTTTGATATTTTTCTAACAATATATACACCATATTAAAGAGAATATATTTGTCTAGAATCTAGAGCAAAAATCATTTTATTATCTCAAGCGGTTTAGAAGTTATACGTGGTTAAAGTTTCAAATTTTATTTTCCGTATATTTTTAGTTTTTTGCTCCTAACTTAGCTCTCGACCAATGAAAAAAGTCGTCCATTTCGATTTTCTATCAAGAAAAATATGCTGAATCATGTGGTACTAGTCTCAATAAATTATACCTCAATACCGGGTTTTTGAACGCAAACGCTTCTCTGCCGACGGCCTATAATTAAATTGGATGAAATCATAATAAAGCTTTGATAGTAATTAAGAAAAATGTGCCTCGAGTTTGCAAAAATTTTAGTTAATAAGGTTATATTTTTACCTGTTGGAAATAGGGTTTGTTTGCCTCGAAAATCTCCGGAAATCTGGATCGAGGTCTGGATTGAATATCCTGGAGTGAGTGAGATTATTCTCTACTCTTTAGGGCAGCTTTCAACTAATAATTGAATGGAAAAAGTCAGAATCTTCTATGGGAAAAAACGTGTGAGCAACTTACTACAAATGACTGTTTTTTTTTAAATCCGATAACATCGGCGAAAATTATGGCACTTTACGAAAGTAAAACACAACGCAAGGTAACTCAGTGTGCCATAAATTGAATTCAGAAGAAAATCAGGCCCAAAATCCCTTTTTAAGGTGAAGACAAAAATAATTCTTCTGAAGGACCTGCTTCTTCAAACAGTCAAACGTGAAAAGGAAAGTGCTCCACATTAGATCAACGAGCTAGCCTAAAGATAGATTCAGAGATGATGCAGAATAACGACAAACGTCAAAAATTAATCGATAGAATTCTCACTTACCAAAAATTGCACGCAACAATATAATCCGAGAAAAATGACAACGGCTGATGAATAATGATATTAACAACAAATAATTATCCCATAAAACAATCAAAACTTGAAGAATACAAAATAGAGTAAGTGATCCGTTTGCAAAATTAGAGGGCTCAAAGAAGAATCGACGATACTAAAAACATTACTAATCGACCGCCGGTTGACAGAAATTGTTGACAATCAAAAGTCAAAAAACCGAAAGCAAGGATAATGCATAAAATCTCAAAAGGCCATCGAACCAATGATCGACCCGGGGTTCACTTGCGCCGCAAATCAATAGCTCAATAACCGAACAGAGTAAGTACGAACGGAGTAGTTCTGTACATACACTTGAAAACGGGTCATTATGATTTCGGAACGCAACCCCACGAGATATCTTTGACAAATGAATTGTTTTTGTTATGAAACAGATGATCGAATTTAAAATTGGAATCAAAATATTGCTTTGTTTTGATTTTGAAATTGAATTAAAACATGGATTAACAGGAACTAGTAACAAATGAAAATAGAATTTGCCCGTTGAGATTGTTGTTGAAATTTTATAGAGAGAAAATGTTGACAAATTTAAGGAAATCTTGAATATAAAATTGAAAGTAGGTAAGGATTAGTTATGTAATTTTGGACCGTTACAATATATTCGGCTCCAAAAATTGTAAAAATACTATCCTTCTAACTGATTTTGTGTACATACAGGTAAAATTTAAGGTACTTGGTTTCTCTGATATTTTTTTAAAAGATTTTTGAACTTATTTGGTTGGAGACGGCTCAACCAAATATAGACAAAGTATAATATATTTTTGGAATAGAGGAATTGTGCTCTTCAAGAATATAGAACCAAATATAGGACATCCCGTTTGAAAAAAGCTGAAAGCATGCAACATTTCATATTTCTGACATTCAATTTTTGTTTCTGACCATGGGTTTTGAAAATTTAGCCAAAACTGTACAACTTCTGTATTTACAGTACACCTTCCTTCTATCTGTAAAGGTAAAGGCTGTAGGTGGGGTGTCAATATACTATAAAAAAACACCCTGTACCCATTGATTATTACATATTCAATTTTCTAATATTGTAGTTGCGTAAGATAATATCCAATTAAGACGAACATAATCGCAATTAGATAATCCGAAATATCTAAATCATACACGTACCTACTCGTCGTAATTATGGCATGGTCTATAAACAGCAATATGGCATATTCCAGTAACTGATGGCATCCAGATGCAATCTGCCTCAATCACGCATGGAGGCACATGCATATTGCATCAGCACGGACAAACCATTAGGCGTTCAGTTAAAATTGTAAACAGAATTTGTGTGTGTATGTAGAGTAGGTAATCTGTAATAAATTTTCGAAATGTGATGGATGATTGGAAAATAATTAGATTGGGCATTGTTAGCGATCTTTGATCATTTTTTTCCAAAGCAAAAATATTGTTTGAATTTCGCATTTCAGTTGTAATTAGGTTTACGCATTATAACTGTTCAGTGATTTTAGCAAAAAAATATACTTATTTATTGGGCTATTAAAATTACCTTTTCTCAGGGCTGTCGTTGAAGTTCTTCTTCGAGCAGGTTTCAACGTAAACATGCGTACCAAATCGGGAACTGCACTTCACGAAGCTGCTCTTGGTGGTAAAGTGGAGGTAGTGAGAACGCTACTAGAGCACGGTATCAACACCTCCGTTAGAGACTCTCATAACTTCACAGTTATGGATCTGTTAAACCAATTCAATAATGCTCAGGCGGCTCAGGAAATTATTGGTTTGCTTAAACGTAAATACTCAATGAGATTTTTTTTTGAGAAATAAATTATAGGCATTCAATTTTTCCAGGTCATAAACGTGGTCTTCCGTTAGTAGACAGTGATGGCGAAAGTATAAATCAGCCATTTCCAACTGTGCCAAATGTGGATTCCGACTTGGGGAGTCCCTATGAGAATGTCAGGCCTTCTTCAAAGAATGCTCGGTAATTTTCTTGGAGCAAAAATTTATTTATTTTAAATGCTAATATTATACTTTCTCCAGATCTGTGACAACAGACCCGTCTCCTGGTACTTCGCCACAAAGATGGGACTACCAAAGATATGCCCGACCTCCGGAAGCCTTTGAAGATCGACGAATTTCGGGTGTATCTGAACATTCAATGTAAGCTTAATTAATTATCAATTTATTGGTGTTTTTTTATTTTCTATGTGTTTTTAGCTTTAGCAGTAGAAGGTCAAATAGTACCGTCGGTACTAGTGCAAATGATCATGATGTTTACATGGACATGACCTTTTCGGGCATGTAAGATTTTTTTATTTTGTTTGATTTTTTTCCGATCTGAGTTCTTAACCTTCTCTTATTTTTAGGCTACTCATTTTTTCCTTTTTTTTTTTGGCTTATTAGCTGCATGTTTTAGGCGTAGATACCCTTCCCTCCAAAGTGGTACAAGCATGCGCTCACTTAACATAGACAATCTCTTTCCTCTAGATGGTATTGTGTTTGATTTCATGGAAAATTTGTTCCAGAGACGAAGTCGGATATTTGACTATTTTTTCAGTATTGCCGATGATAGTGCTGGTAGCGTTATAACTTCAGGATCGTCTAGGTGTGTGACTAAACAGTTTTATAACGCGTCCTATTTTGTCTGCTAACAGCATCTCTTAACTTTTCGGGCTGGATTTTAGCTAGGAAGATTACACGAAATTGTATTATTACAGAGACTCTGACAACAGCCTCTACCATATGCCTTCTGCTCCAAAACAATTCATGGACACCAGCGCACACTCAGAGGATTTCAACTATCTCTGTTGCTCCAACAGAGAATCTGACCAAATTTCAATTTCGTCTACGGCATCCAGTTTGGGCTATGGAAGACGACCGGATAGTGGTGGTACCCCACTCTACATACCGATGAATAGGGGTGCGCATAGTCCTGGATCTGGCAGCAAAGTATCGGTAAGTGAATCAGTGATTTTATGAGTTTAATGGCCGCCTTACCTAAATCATTTCAGCCTACTCCTCCAAAAAAACCTCCCCGAAGAACAATCACTATTTCTCCCACCCATCTTCAACCAATGTCAGCATCGGTTGATGGAGTCAGCAATGGTGTCTATGAATACCTTTTCCTAGCCCACAGTGGCACTAGAAGCCAAAATAATCTTAATGAATTTGAAAAAGAAAATAGAAGAGAAAGGTTGTCACATGGACATAGCATGGATCAATATGTGGAAATGAATCTTTTTAATATTGCTTTGGACGATGAGCCGATTGAAAGGTGGATATTTAAATAGAGTTTTATTAATATTTTTCTGAGTTCCACATAATTTCAGGCCGAGAAGTGAACTTCAAAGAGGGAAAAGTGAAGATTTGGATAACAGAAAAAAGCCTGAACCTGTTGCCATAACCAGCCTTTACGAGAATATTCTAGTAAAACAACAGAACCCTAGAAGAAAACTGAGAAGACACAATGACGTGTATGAAGATTATTCATTTAAAAGGAAAGACAATGACCAAATGTCAAGTTCATCAGCACCCGAGCGTACCTTTGTCTCGAGCGCCTATATCAAAATTACTGAAAATGGCGATAAACCTAAGAAATCTGACAAAAGTAATAAGAGCCCACTTTCTCCCACTCACTATAATCAACCACCCACTCCCGAGCATCCACCGCCTTCGGCGATGCAAGCTGAAAGTATTATTTATGAAAAAATACGTCCGCTGAGTCAGGTGAGTTCCTGATTCATTTATTTTGATAGTATTCTTATGTGCAGTATTAGAATTATTTGTTTTTTAAATTATGTAAAAAATCTTCAGCCGTTTGAAAAATTTTCGCATTTGTTTTGATCTCGATTTATTTATTCGATAGTGGCCTCTTCTTTTCTCATTTATTGTTTTCGTTTTATTAGCTTTTTTGCATAATTCAAATTGCTACAATCTTTCTACCTAGACGTACCTATTCTATGTAGGTATTAGCGTATTAGCATTTCCATTACAAATTATTTGGGCTTTTTTAAAAATAACATTATAAGTTTAATAACAGTACTATTTTTAGTTGTTAGGTTTAAAAGGTTTTTAAGAATCCCACTAAGTAGCACCATGTGATAAATATTTTAATTTAAGCGGGTTCTAGAGCATCAAGTAAAAAAGTATGGTACCTACATATTTTTTATTGTCAAATAAAATAAAGCTTATACTATCAGGAAAAATAAAATGTGCAAGTATGTGAAGCAATAATTTTTGGTGCTAATATGTAAAATAAATATTTCTATGTCAACTCCATATTGATGCATGCAGATATTGTATAAGGATATGTTATTATTTTCCATTAATTTATTTGCATCGTGTTGTTTGCTTCTTTTTATTGACTGTTTTATTGGTCCCATTTATATTGGACTCGTTTTTTGGGCTAGTATTTATTATTTTATTAGCAAATTTATTGTTTTTTATTATTTTATGTTCACTGTTATTGTTATTGCAATAAATAGATTTTTATTACACTTTTTTTGTTTTATTTTATTTTATTTTATTTTATTTTTTTAACTTTTTTTGTTTTACCTAATGGTTAGTATTTTTGTCGCTCGCTTTTGCTACTAATTTACCTGCAAGTATTTCAATTTGATGTCTGTACAAACATTGACAAACCAGCGAATCATCTGTTGTTGCCCAATACTATTTTTAAAGATTCTAGTACTGGTTCTGATTGAAAACAAAACAGATTCGAGAAAGAAATGTTCTAAGAACCTTTTCGATCTGACAACCAGACCAAATATACTTTGTAGGCTAGTCAAGTTTTCCGAAAATCGAAATTTTAGAAGCATTTCATATTAATTTTGGGCAAAAGGCTTTTTCCTTCTATTTAGATACTGCTGAATCCGAAAATGCCGGTTGCCCAAGCCAAATCTCGACTGGAAGTGAGATATCCAAGATGGCTACCAATATGGCGCGAAAACCCGATATCGGCGCTGTAAAACCTTCCTTGGACATACAGGGTGTAAAAAAATAGTGTACCTACCGGACTTCGAGGGGTGATACTACATATGAAAATAAGAGAAAAAGTTCCTATGAACAGATGCCCTAGGATGCCTTTTTGTTTTGTGAGTAACTACCCTCTACCCTTATGGAAACTCCCTTTTCAAAACTGTTACGACTTTTTTTACTATCATCATTCGCTTTGACATCTAAATGTATGGGAGAATACCAATATTTCTCCACTGTTCTTGAAAATAAATAAAATCCATTATTTTCATCTACCGTTTGAAGGGCTGTAACTTCTTCAGGGAGCATCTTAGGGCATATGTTCATTGGAACTTTTTTTCTTATTTTCATATGTACTATCACCCCAAGTCCGGTACACTATTTTTTTTCACACCCTGTAGAAATGCGTCCAAAATATCTAGTACCTATTACCCATTTGAAACTGGTTGTTGGACCAGTTCCTGATCTTGGTTTTCACCAGGCAGGAGGTAACTCCAAGTGCAGGACTCTGGTCCAATGGCAGTCTTGCCAGATTTACGCGCCTGCTGGTCCGTTTCCTCATTGCCTTTTATGCCCGTGTGATTCGGGACCAAAACAAGGGTGACCTTGTTGAGCCCACTGAGTAGTTCTAGGGTTGTCATCATTGACCTCTAACCAAGGATAGACACCACAAGTCATCCATACAATTACCCCGCCAACAATCAGAAACAAGATCTTGGGAAAAATAATTTAAGGTAAACGTCCCAAGTATCGATACTTTGAGAGGTTTTGGCTAGATCATAGGGAAATAAAAATTTGCATATTAAAGGTATAGTTTTGAAAATTTCACTGTGTGTTGGTATATTATTGATTATTGCTGTGGAATGTTTATGTTTCGAATAGTAATACCTAATTTATTTGCAAAAAATAAATAAGGTAAAAAGTACCATTTGACACAATAATCGACATGGGAAAAACTGTTTTGTACCAAAAATCGACACACCTGCGTACGTAATATCGACAGTGGACCTGAATGGTAAAATGGTAATAATGAGGTGACAAACATAAAATAAGAAGCTTACCACATAAGTTAAGTATACTCATATTTATTATACATAAATGATCAAAATAAAATATACCTAACTTCTTTGGAAAATAGAAAATTACTCAAATTATTTTTATTTTTATTATTATTATCAGTCATCAACCGTGTGAATTCGGCGTTTCTCCATTTATCAAGAACAATCCCTGTTCCTTAGAATAAATGGCAGTGGCGTATCCAGCCTGAGGTTCTGGGGGGCGCAAACCTGGTATGTCTGCCATAGGCGGAAATTTTTTTTTGAGTTGCCACGCCCAAAAGTCTTCAAAACCACACAATCGAGTATTTGCTCGCTTCTCTCAATACTTTTGTAGGACAAAATATATAATATTTTCACAGAAAAATAAGGTATTGCTATGGTTTCGTAATATTAGCCTGCCAGCCACCACTGAAAAAATCTTTGGGCTGCTCATTATAACGATAAGAGGTTGATAACTGGAATTAATTGTTTTTCTGAGAAATCGACTTTCAAGAAACAAGTAGGTAGCATGTGTAACATAAAATCAAACTGAAATTTTATTCAAAAGTCAAAGATATACAGGGTGCGGCACGAAAAACTTCCCATCCAGGTTTTATCAAGTGTCAGGTGATAAATCAAAAATCGCTCGGACACATCACTTTTTGTTTTTGAGGGACTTTATTTATTGATATTTTCACCCCTTACCTGTGAACCCCTAAGCGGGGGTGACAGAGGTACCAGGTACCCCCCAAAAGTTCAAATGGAAAGGGGGGTTGAGTGATGCGTCATTTGTTAGCTATTTTTATTAAGATTATATCCCCAAAGTTTTAAATTGCTACTATCAACCCTGTCGAAATATCTTGTCAAAGCTATGTGTTTTTTACCTCATATTAACAAATTAACATATTTTTCAAGTGAATGAACATGAACCATTTTGAACTGAACTGTTGAATGACGATACTTAGATTAAATGCCAATGTTATTTTATCACTATGGATAGGTACGCTTCAAAAATCTGTTGTTTTGTTATGTGGTAAAAATCACATAATTCAGATACTCGGAAAAAAGCATTTTTCCTAACTTTGACACACTGCCATTTCGGTAGAGAAAATAGTAGCAGCTTAAAACTTTGAGGATATAATTCTTACAAAAATAGCTACCAAATGACGTATCACTCGACCCCCTTTTGCATTTGAAATTTTGGAGGTACCTGTCTCCCCCGCTTAAGGGTTGACAGGTAGGGAGTGAAAATACCAATGAAATGTGTCCCCCGAAAAACAATAATTGGCGTGTTCGAGCAATTTTTGATTGATCACCTAACACCTGAGAAAACCTGGGTGGGAAATTTTTCGTGCCCCACCCTGTATAATAAATACTTTAAATTACTAAAAAAATTCACACTGGAATAACTAAAATATAAATATTACAGGGTGTTCCTTAATACTAAATATCATGCAGGTACAAACGGAACGGGGCGATTCTTTGGTTTTTTCTTATGACTAAATAAAATTTCAAAGAAACATGGGTTAAGCCCAAATTTGAAATATAGGTTACGCAATAGGAGCTAAATGATTGTACATTCCACAGAAAGATTGAATCATAAAGGTACTTTTTGCATTACCAGCTTCACCAGACAATTATTATTGCTTTTCAGAAAGATGGTTTTTGTGTTTTTGGTGGTGTCGCCTTTTGACAAAGTCTGAGCCCTGATAAGTGCTGGGGCGAGTTCAGGAATGACACACCCAGTGTGAGTGTGACACCGGTGCGACGCCCTAGCTGTTCAAAAATGCTAGACAGTGCTATGGGCCCAATGGCCAATTGTCAATTCAGGCACACTCATAAAATCGCACTCGCACCCTGTGCGTTATTTCTGAACTCGGCCCTGATGGCTCAAAGGCGAAAGCGCTAGGCAGCTAGTAATATACATTACGCTGAATATAAAACTAGTATTTTTACTTTTATTCCCTGATTGTCAAGCACAGCGTACAACTGAACAGTTTCTATTTACAAAAAAGCTACCTGTTCATGTAGTTGAAAAAAGTATTATTTATTAAATTAATTTCAGTACATTTTTGAATTTATTTTTTTATTATTTGACAAATTTTTAAAAAATAAAAGGAATAAGAAGATGTTGCTCTGGGGGGGGGGGGGGGGGGGGCAATTGCCCCCTTTGCCCCCTTACTGGATACGCCAGTGATAAATGGTCTACGTCTCCTTATCCTAGAGCTCGTCGGATTATGTGGGCTGTCCCCAGAAGTGCAGATTTTTGTAGCATCGTGATTGTGTTTTTATTGTTGTTGCCAGGTATTTTGCCTAAAGACTCTTCGAAGTTATTGTGGATGGTTCCTGTTGCGCCGATTATGATAGGGATGATAGTTGTTTTGAGCCCCCACATTCTCTGTACTTCTATTTGCAGGTCTCGGTATTTGAGAATCTTTTCGGATTCCTTTTCCTTGATTGTGGCATCTGATGGGATGGCAACGTCGATTAATAGACAGGTTTTATTTTTGAGATCTTTAATTATTAGATCTGGCTTGTTCGCCATCACAGTCCTGTCTGTTTGTACTTGCGTATCCCATATTATTGTAATCTCGTCTTTTGTTTCAACGCTTTTTGGCTTGTGTTTATACCATGTGTCCTCAGTTTCTATTCCGTAGTGTTTGCAGACATTATAGTGGAGCGTTGAACATACTTTGTTATGTCGTTCAAGATATTCTTTTCTGGCAAGAGCTGGGCATCCAGTGGTAATGTGCTTGATTGTTTCATCATATTGTTTACAGAGTCTGCATCTGGAGTCTACTTTTTCTTTGAAAATTTTCTTTCTCATATAGTTGGTTGAAATGGCCTGGTCTTGTACCGCTACTATCAACGATTCAGTTTCGCCTTTCAGAATTCCTGTTGTCAGCCATCTGAATGTCTGTTTTCTGTCTACATCACCTCTATCGATTTCTCTGGCGTATTGTCCGTGCATTTCCTTGTTCTTCCATTTTTGTTCTCTTTCTTCCTTCATTTTCTTCCTGCATTGCTGTTTGAGCCTTTTCACCTTTTTTGTCGCTGTAGCTCCATTCATTTCATTCACTTTCTTGCATGTGTATTTTTCTGTTAGGTTTTTGCCTTTGTTCATAAGTGTATTCTTTTCTTTTCTTTGCGTTTCGTTGTGTTTTATCAACTCCACGAGTCTGTCTTCCTTTTTTTCTCTTATGTAGCTCGTAATACCTATGATTGTCAAATGGTATGCCTGTTCATTGCTGATGAGTCCTCTTCCTCCGCTTGATCTGATTGTGTAGAGTCGGTCTACGTCCGCCTTGGGATGATGCAGATTATGGATGGTAAGTAACTTTCGTGTTTTTCGGTCTATATTTCTTATTTCTTCCTCCTTCCAGTCTAGAACGCCATAGCTGTAAGTTAATACTGGTTGTGCGAGCGCTGTGATGGCCGTAAATTTATTTTTCCCTGTGAGCTGACTCTGTAGGATTTTTCTGACT